TCACATATAAATATTTATGAGCAGCAATTAATGTCAAATGCATATATCAAAAATGAAACTTTGGACATTCGTTGCAAAACAAAATCGGTAAAAGAAAAACAGTTTGAAATTTGTCTGAAAATGAATTTGTATTGATTTTGAAGTTTGGCCTGAAAACTGGCGTTTTTGTACAAGAGGCTGACGTCCTAGTAAGAGAACGCCGTCGAACAAATAGAATTTATACAATTTGTGAAAAGGAAACAAAACAGCTATGTGAATAATCCCACTGGGTTCCAACTCTGATATTGCCTTTATATCTTCAAGCATCTCATCACTTTGCTGCTTAGTTAAAGATGAATCTGATTGATTAGTGCCGTCCGAGCTTGATAGTCGATACCGAAGTCTGGATGCAAGGTGATCCAATGAGACATAGTGTTACGCTTTGATCCCTAATTTTTGCCTGGACTGCCCTTTCGGGTTTTCAGTCCACCGGGATACCCTTTTTTTGCCCAAGCCGCCTTTTCAGGTTTTTGACTTGCCGGGTGTACAGATTTTTTTTATTTTCATCCCTTATTTTTGCCCGAACACTTTTGGTTCGCCGGGAAGCCCTTATTTTTGCCTAGGCTAGTCAACCTAGCGGGTCTTTGATTAGGCGTAGTATCTTTTCACTATGTCTGCATTGACGGGGTGAGGGAGGTCGTCACCATCCATGGTGGTTAGAATCATAGCTCCTCCTGAGAAGATGTTCTTAACCACAAATGGCCCTTCGTAAGTAGGGGTCCATTTTCCCCTGGGATCACCTTGAGGTAGAATAATACGCTTGATTACCAGATCCCCAACTTGATACTCTTGTCTTCTAACTTTCTTGTTAAATGCCTTGACCATCCGCTTTTGGTACGTCTGACCATGACAAATAGCAGTAAGTCTTTTTTCGTCAATTAGGTTCAGTTGATCAAGTCGGGTCTGAATCCAGTCATCTTCGCTTAAACCTTCATCCTTCATGATCTGAAGAGAGGGTATCTGAACTTTAATAGGCAAGACTGCCTCCATGCCATATGCCAAGGAATAGGGTGTTGCCCCTGTTGACGTCCGAGCTGAGGTACGGTACCCATGAAGAGTAAATGGTAACATCTCGTGCCAATCTTTGTATGTCACTGTCATCTTCTGCACAATCTTCTTGATGTTCTTATTAGCCGCTTCTACAACCCCATTCATCTTCGGCCAGTAGGGAGAAGAGTTGTGATGCTGTATCTTGAATTGCTCGCAGAGCTCAGTGATCATCTTGTTATTAAGATTGGTACCGTTGTCTGTAGTGATCCTCTCTGGTACACCGTGCCGACAGATCAGATTGTGCCGAATGAACCGTGCCACGACATTCTTGGTTACGGTAGCAAAGGAAGCTGCTTCAACCCACTTCATAAAGTAATCAATCGCTACCAGGATGAAACGATGCTCGTTAGATGTCGTAGGTCTGATCTTGCCGATCATATCAATGCCCCACATTGCAAAAGGCCAAGGAGCCGTCAAGACGTTCAGAGGAACTGGAGGTATGTGCACCTTATCAGCATAGACCTGGAACTTGTGACATGTCCGAGAATGCTAATAATAGTCAGCTTCCATTGTGGACCAATAATATCCTGCCCGAAGGATTTTCTTTGCCATGGTATGTCCACTGGAATGAGTCCCGAAAGTACCTTCATGTAACTCTGCCATGATCCTTTCTGCTTCATTCTTATCCACACAACGCAGTAAGGTTGAATCATGGTTACGCTTGTAGAGAATACCATTGCTAATGAGGAACTTTGCCGCGAACCTCCTCAGAAACTTCTTGTCATTAACAGATGCACCCTCGGGGTACTCCTGAGCTTCAAGATACCTCTTCACCTCATGATACCAGGGCTTTCCTGTTACTTCTTCAGTCTCCAGATCACAGCAATGTGCAGGTTCGTCCAATCTTTCAATAATGATCCGGGGAGCTTCGTTGTCCCAATTGACTTTGAACATAGAAGACATCGTAGCCAGCACGTCCACTAACTGATTCTCCTCTCTGGGGAAGTGTTCAAAGGTGATCTCCTCGAAATAGGGAAGCAACGTCAACACATACTCCTTGTAAGGGATATGATTTGGGTGTTTCGTATCCCACTCGCCTTTGATCTGACTGATCACGAGAGAGGAATCTCCGAAGACACTCAGAAACTTAATCCTTAGGTCAATTGTTGCTCGAAGACCCATAATGCATGCTTCATACTCCGCCATGTTGTTGGTGCAGTTGAAACATAGTCGGGCGGTAAACAGAGTATGAGAGCCTTTAGGAGATATGATTACGGAGCCAATGCCATTACCCAAAGCGTTCGAAGCTCCATCAAAGTACATAAACCATCGGGATCCTTCCTCAGGTCCTTCATCCGGTCCAGGTGTCTCGCAATCAGTTATCGACATGATACTCTCGTCTGGAAATTCAAAGTTCATAGACTGGTAATCATCCACTGCCTGATGTGCCAAATGGTCTGCCAATACACTTCCCTTGATTGCCTTTTGAGTCATATATTGGATGTCATATTCAGTGAAGATCATTTTCCATCTTGCTATTCTTCCGGACAAGGCAGGCTTTTCGAAGATATACTTGATTGGATCCATCTTTGATATCAACAGAGTAGTGTGAGTCAGCATATACTATCTCAGCCAGCGAGAAGCCCATGCCAAAGCGCAGCAAGTTTTCTCGAGCAGTGAGTATCAGGTCTCACAGTCGGTAAACTTTTTGCTAAGGTAATAAATAGCATGCTCTTTTCGGCCAGACTCGTCATGCTGCCCCAGCACACACCCCATTGAGTTGTCAAGTACTGTCAAGTATAAGATTAAAGGTCTCCCTTCAACTTGTGGCATCAGAATAGGTGGCTCTTGGAGATACTCTTTGATCCTTTCGAAAGCGGCCTGGAATTCATCATTCCAACGTACCACTTGATCTTTCTTCAGCAGCTTGAAGATTGGTTCACAAGTAGCAGTCAGGTGTGAGATGAATCGGGCAATGTAGTTCAATCGTCCCAGGAAACCTCTGACTTCTTTCTCTGTTCTGGGAGCTGGCATCTCCTGTATAGCTTTCACTTTTTCCGGATCCACTTGAATACCTTTGTCGCTTACGACGAAACCCAGTAATTTACCAGATCTCACCCCGAAGGTGCACTTGTTCGGGTTTAACCTCAGCTTGTACAACTTCAACCTGTCAAATAGTTTCTGTAGATTGTCAAGGTGTTCCTCCTCAGTCTGGGACCTTGCAATCATATCGTCGACGTATACTTCAATCTCATGATGGATCATGTCATGAAACAAAGCAACCATGGCACGCTGATATGTTGCCCCATCATTCTTCAGTCCAAAAGGCATGACCTTGTAGCAAAAGGTACCCCACTGAGTAACAAAGGTCGTTTTCTCCATGTCTTCGGGAGCCATTTTAATCTGATTATAACCGGAGAAACCATCCATGAAGGAGAAAACCTTATGCTGAGCGGTGTTGTCAACCAGAATGTCGATATGAGGTAGAGGGAAGTCATCCTTGGGGCTTGCCCTGTTCAAATCCTTGTAGTCAACACACATTCGGACCTTACCATCTTTCTTCGGCACAGGAACCACATTGGCCACCCACTGAGGGTAAGAAGTAACTGCTAGAAAACCCGCGTCAAACTATTTCATAACTTCAGCCTTGATTTTCTCAGACATCTCTGGGCACATACGGCGAACCTTCTGTTTCACTGGAGGACATTCTTCCTTGGTAGGCAGTCGATGAACCATGATATCGGTATCCAACCCAGGCAAAGATCTCGACGTAGTCACACAGCATCTGAATCAACCGTTGTTTCACACTAGGCTCTAGATTGGCACCAACCTTGACTTCTTTCTTGTTTGTCTCTGTACCCAGATTCACTGATTCCACCGACTCTTCGTGCGGCTGAATAGCCCTCTCTTCTTGGAGTAACAGTCTTGCAATTTCACCAGGAACTTCGCAATCATCTTCACCTTCGTCTTCGACTAAGTTGATCGGATTTTCGAAGTCATAACCGGTAGTAGCAGAGTTGTTACCAGTGAGATCCAGAGTGGATGTGGACCTGTATATGTGAGTGTGTGTAAAATAGCTGTTTTGCAATATATAATAAAGAAAAACAAGGAGCGCAAGATTTGAAATGCAAGAACGTCCAATGCTTTTATTAATGATATATGAAAATGACACACAAAATCCCTCACAAATGAAGCCACAGTGCCCCGGGTAAGACACCGGGCCGTAAAGTTTAAAACATTGTCTGTTGCAAATTCAAAACAAAGAGTTCATTACTGGGTGATAACTGAAACGGGCATAGAATCCTTCGCTGTCCAGTTGCTTAATCCACCATTGGCAGTCGGGTAGATCCAACCACTACAAGAAAATTGGCAGATTGCGACAGGTATTTTTGTAGATTACGACGGTTAAAACCGTCGCAATTTGCTTTCCACGACGGTTGCTTTACCGTCGCAGAAGTGTGTGTCCCCAACCTATTTCGCGACGGTTACAAAAACTGTCGTTCAAGTTTACGACGGGTTGATACCGTCGTGACTATCTTTTGAGTTTCTTTTAATTATTGATGGCGACGGTTCGATACTGTCGTGAATATCTTTTGAAATTGATTAAATTGTTTATGGCGACGGTTCGATACCGTCGTGACTTTTGTTGATTATTTTTAATTGTTGATTACGACGGTTCGCTACTGTCGCCATGACTTTTGTTTATGTCTTGACTTTTGTTTAAAGTTGGACCTATATCACGAAATCTTTTTCTACATTATTTGTATATGTATAAGATCGAATTTAAATCCACTGATTTCTCTGCAAATTGCAGAAAACATATAAACATATAATGCATCTTTACTTTCTTTTCCACTTTGAGCTTTATAATTTGAAATATCCCATCTTTCTAAAAAAGAAAATGAGATAAGAATTACAACATAAATAACATGTTACAATTGCTTCAAGCAGAACCTCTTTAGATACACATACTATAAGAGACCAAAAGGCTCAGGCAGGTTCTCGAATCCATTATCAAATAATAAGGAGCCTTGATCAAATTTATCATCCACACTATGAAGCCAGTTTGTATTCTTCAAATCTTCTTTAAGCAACAGCGCGTCGTAACGAGAGCTCTCGTATACGTCAATTTCACTCAGTTTTGCTGAGTATTGTCTTTCATCTATCTCTCTTCCTTTTATCATATTTCTATTGATTCCGTTTACCACGTCAAAATGGGATCCATTATTTTTGTTTAGTATGTTTCCGTTCGCTTCGATAGATGTTGGTGGAGCACTTGAACCTCGATTATATTGACTCTTGGGCGTGGAATTTCGAATACTTTGTGGAAACAGTGTGGTGCTTGATAGTGCACGATGATTTCCCGAGCCGTTCCTTATGTCCTGTTAAATAGAAAAGTGCGTGTAAATTGGGTTTGCGTGATAAAACAAACTTGCTTGGAGCATACATCTTCACAAAATAAGATTCGGCAACAAAATAGAGTATACAAACCATGTGCTTGATTGCCATATCCAAGGATTTCTTTGAGATATTCCTTCCAAATCCAGAGTTGTTAGTTGTGTTGGTTGAGGCTTTAACTGATCTTCTTGCAGCTACCTCAGGAGCATGTGAGACTTTTCTAGGTTCATGAACATCGGCATGATGGCCATTGCCATTGGCAAATCCACGACTTTTACTGACAGGTTCTGTTGATCTTCCTCTACTGACAATAGGAGACGAAGCTCGCCTTGGCATATTAACCGACGCTTGGGTTTCAGAAGTATTTCCTTTCAAAGTGTTAACACCCGGACGGGACCTACCTGCAGAGACAGGTCCATCGGGCAACGTTGTTCTGAGGTTTGGTGGTGTATCAAGGGGAAAATCGGGTGGAACAACAGGCTGTGGTGGGGCCCGGATTCGTGGACTTGGTGAGCTTGGCCGTGAGGATGGTGCTGAACTACGCCCGTTCAATGGAACACGTCCAGCTGAAGTTGAAGAACTTGTTGCAGAGGAAGGAGAAAGAGATGGTATTGAACTCCTACGTGTGGGAGTAGAAGGACGAGATAACGATCGAGTCGATGGTGCAGATGGGGAATGTAAGTTTGCAGGAACCTGAGGCCTAGAACTAGGAGTGGAAGGCCTCGAGCTTTGTGATATTGGTCTAGGCTTTTCAGCAGTAGAGCTTGTCGAAACTGTACGTATTCTGGAAGGTGTTGACGCCCTTGATGGTGTTGTGCGCGAAGTAGGAGTTGAAGGCCTTGTCGAAGATGTCGAACGGGGTATCGGGGAAGATGGTCTAATGTAAGATGAAACTGAGGCTGAGCTTGTGTTGAGGATATTTTTGGAGGAGGATCTGTTTGAAGAATAGTTGTTGTTGTACTGAGACTGTGAAGTGGAGATCGAAGGACGAGTCACTGAACTGCTTCTTGCTGGTCTAGAGTGATTGTTGCTCTCAGATTGTGAGACTGAAAGCTGAAACAAAACATGACTAAGAAGTTAAACATGATTAAAAACACCTGAAACATCATTTACAACAGGTCAATGTATTATGAATTAGTTCTCCAAGACCCAAGTAATCACTAAGCTCAAAGGTTACTAACTGGTGAAACCAACTTATGAAACAAAACATGTATACATTTTCATCGCCTGCTTTACTCAGGTTCTTTGCTTCTGCCTGCTTTACTCATCCAACTTCCATTCTTCTTCTTAACCTCGCTAAAGGTTAAAAAGGTATAGATGCGGTTGCATTCGTCTTTTCCAGAGTCGCCTAAGTTCTTCACTTTGGCTGCAAGAATGTTACCGTCAATTTGGTTAACAGCAAATGTAAAAAGAGGCAGACCGTTCTTCACAGCAATTCTCAAAAGAGCTTCTGGAAGGTAGTGGGGGAAGATGCGCTGCTTTCTCAGGTGCTTCTGGAAGATCTAATTCCAAATGACCAAGTGGCCGCAAGAAAGAGTTCTCCTGAAATCATAAATAGTAATTGTTCAGATTGCTTTTCCTATTACGAGGAGAGGGGAAACTAACCAAATTAAGTAGTGCAAGATACCATGACAGCATCACCAACAGTCAACTCAAAATCATATCTGCCCGAGAGATAATAAAATTTGTCCACCAAGCCAAGAAAATCCTAAAAGACAAAATTATGAATTTTAACAGAACAATAACTATATATTAATAGTAGATGAGAATGAAATGATCATACAGTCTTCGCCAAAACATACAGGTGACAAAATTATAAGCCCCCAAACCCAGTCCAGCTTAAATGCAATTAGGGAATGCTGATTCATATTTAATTGTGCATATCTAGAACGGTACAACCTAACAGATAAATAAACCCTCTGTTACAAAAAGACACATTGTATTAAAACCAGAACATACATGCCTTTTCCACTTTAAGTTCACTTGATTTCTAATATTCAGAATGTAGCAGTTATGAACTAAAACAGATTATCCTGACTTCAGCATCGTGTAATAGCTATTTATTATGAATTGTAACAAACTCAATAAGTACTCGAGAATAGACATGTTAATCTAGACAATGAAATATAAAATAGGAGATACTTAACGAGAATAATCTCGAACTTCTTGCCGGTATTTCTGACCACAAAGATGTGTTCATACTTTGTCTCATGCTTCAACTTAAGCAATGCCTGAAGAAGAATAAATGTTTAATAAAGAAGAGACCAATGAAATGACATTCATTTAAAAGGTCTAATGCAACTACTACAAACCTGGCGAGGCTTAAAGGTATGGCCATGGGGCATTATCAACTGAAAAGAAAAACGCAACTTTTGAAGATGGTTAGCTGAGAGTGAAACAACATCAGTTCCAGCCAAATCTAGCCTACACAGAAACACAAAATAAAGATTTAAATTGAAGTGAAGAAATAAACATAATTAATAGAATTGCTAACAAAAACGCAAAACCAAGATTTAAATGTATATATGTGTTCAGCTCGAACTTCAAACACTGCATAAAAATGACAAACATATGACAATGAGACATACTAATTGATGATTAAGTACACTGATCCTGAATATAATTGCAGAGATGTTTTCAAACCAGTAATTGAAACCTTACGTTTTCTGGGTTTCATCACTTCCAAGATCACTGCCAAGAACTGCAATTTCTGCGTTGCTAACTTTAACAATGCCAGTGACATATATCGGCACGTGAATTTGGCCTCCAATAGCATAATCATTTTCACTACCTGAATCATGAAGCGTTGTCTACAAAATAGGCTTAAAACGTTATAACTAACAAGCAGATACAAATAAATACACCTTGGTGTAATGAAAGGAAAAATAATCACTAAATAAACATAATACCTCAAAAACAAACACATATGTTCCCACATCCACATTATCTGGGAAGCCCATGACATGAAGTCCACTACTTTGATCGTACTGGAGTTCCTGTAGAACACAATAAGGGAGGTATATTCAAACAATTGAAAGTAGAACAGACCAGAGATAATAAAGAATCCCATAAACTAAATTACTCTACGACATCCACTTCTAAAAATAATCATTGACTCATCACTCACCTTGCCCTCGATAACAGCAGAATGTTTAGCATCAGCGTGGAAAGCTCTGACAAGCTTAACTGTAAGAGGTGGTGCGGCTGAACCAAGTACTGTATTCACTGTAACCTGTTTAATTTTGAAATAGAAATCTGTCATTTTCCAAAGTGAAAAGTTGTACATTCATTAAAAAAAACTTAAGATTTATTAATGCAGCCAACTGATTCATGTGATGCTAATATAGTATTGCATGTATAAGAATCAACAAGTGAGAAATGGGGGAAGAGTTTATTAAGCTCCACAACTGAATAAAAAACAATGGCGCATAGGAGAGTGTGAGATGAAGAATTTAAAAGGAGACTGAAAATGACAGAACCAAAAATAACTGGTAGCATCATGTGAAAGAAAGCCTAACTGGAACTCAGAACTGTATCAGTAATCTTTAATATATTTGAGTCAACCAACATATTTTTGACAGAAAAAGTGATAAAAACATAATCTTATGAGGTGGTTGAGGAGCCAAAACAGAAAACCAGTGTGAACCATCAACTAATCGTTTCACTCCCAAAATAAAGACTTTAGAAACTTTAACTTCATTACTTACCTTGAGCTGATCTTTTTTGGACAATGAATAAACTGTTGCAGGAAGTGACAGCACTAATGGAACGGGAACCCTACACCAGAACAAGAAATCCGAGGCATTTTTGTTACTGAATATTATTAAGATATCAAGATATGTGCAAAGAAGAAACAAGAGGGAAAAAAGGACACCACTATAAAGCTGTACTAAAATTATAAATTCTTTTCCTGAAAAGCACTTGCCTTTTGCTCTCCAGAAGAGCTAATGATTCAATTTGATTGAAGAAGTCCTTGGCACTTCCTGGAAGAGGAACCATCGACCTTGAAGAGGAACCATCGAAGAGTTGTAAAGCAGCGGAACGGTGAGAATCGGAAATCGGACTTGGATTCGTGACGGCGTTGCAGATCGAAATAGTGAAAAACAGTATGAGAAATTTGGCTAGGTTTATGGCCATTTCTGCAGCTATGAATCTATGAATGCAAATCGCATTTACGATAGGTTAGGGATTTGAGAAATGAGATCGAGAATTACGAGATACGCGAAGAAACGACTTGTGCGAGTGAGTCTGTGTGTTTTTGGTGCAACTGAACTAGTATCATCACTGGCTCTTGATCATCTAGCCATCTTTTCAAACAACGAATCGCCGCCAGTCGCTGCCGTCACGGTGCTTCCGGATTCTCTGAACGCAGGAGTAGAAAGTGAATGGATGTTTTATGAGATTTTTAACTTTTTTACGGCGACGGGTGTTTTACCGTCGTGCCCATGAAAATTTTTAAAGGTTTTGGATGCGACGGTTGTTTTACCGTCGTGAAATGAATTTTAGGACGGATAATTTTACCGTCGTGAAAGGTTTAAGGGTGCGACGGGTGCTTTACCGTCGTGATATGCCTTTTAGGACGGTTAATTTTACCGTCGTGACTAGTTGTTGGTGAAAAATCAATGTTAAAAGTGTTAAATGGGGGCCGACGGTTGTTTTACCGTCGTAATAATAATATTATGATGGTTAAATATACCGTCGCAAAATAAATATTAGGGACGGTTGGTGTCAACTGTCGTAAACACTGTCTCTATATGTCAATTACGACAGTTATCACATAACTGTCGCAATTTTTGTGTCGTTAAACACTAATTTTCTTGTAGTGAACTGTCGATATCAAACTCTTCATCATCGTCATCCCTGATAGCATTCACCACTGCATCTTGTTTAGGCTTCTCTGGTGCTCCGAACTCAATCTCCTTTGCATCGATCAAGTCTTGTACCTTATTTTTTAGACTCCAACAATCATCTGAATTATGCCCCGAGCTATCGGAGTGATAAGCACAGCGGGCGTTAGGGTTATACCTTGGTGACGTTGTATTTGAATTCTTTGGGGCTTCCCTTAGAGTCACCAGATTAGTCTTCAGAAACTGCGGAAGAATATGAGATAAGGTCACGCTGAGACGAGTGAACTGCCTCTTAGGTCTCTCGTCCTTTTGTTGATTGTTGTACTGAGGAGCACCAGCAGGTTTTGAAATAACAACCGCGTTAACATATTGGCGGTGTTCAGGTCTATTCTGTCTTCTTGCACTGTAGACAGCACTGGACTCTTTCTTAAACGAATTCTTCTCGGTGCTTGATGAAGCATCCTTCTGTATCTTCCCAGCCTTAATACCAGCCTCAATCCTCTCACTAATCAAAATAAGATTTGTAAACCTGGATGAAGAGCTTCCAATCAAGTGGTTGAAAAATGGACCAGACAGGGTCCCCAGAAACATATCAACAAGTTCCCGATCAGCTAAGGGTGGTTGCACCCTTCCGGCGAGGTCTCTCCACTTTTGAGCATAATCTTTGAATCCTTCACCCGTTCCCATTGACATACCCTGGAGTTGGGTACGCGTAGGAGCGAGGTCGGAGTTGTACTGATACTGCCTGTAGAATGCAGTAGCCAAATCTTCCCAACTGCGGATACTGGCTCCGTCCAACTGATAGAACCACTCAAGCTGAGTCCCTGAGAGACTGTCTTGAAAGAAATGGATCCATAGGTTCTTATCAGTGGTATAAGGCTGGATCTTCCTCACATATGATCGGAGGTGCAGCTTCGGACAAGAAACTTCGTCATACATAGCAAAGGCTGGTGCCTTGAACTTGTGGGGAATCACTACCCCAGATGATAGACCTAGATCAACAAAGTCCAGACCGGGCACCTTTTGAATTTCCATAGCGCTCAAACGGTCTTCCAGTTGTTTATACTTATCCTCAGCAGGAGGATACTGTTCTTCATCGTAGTCCGTCTCGTTGTCGGAGACCACAGGGCTAGGAGCCCTCCTTTCTTATGGACTATCTTTCCCTCCAGATGAGGTGGTCAGATCAACTTCATCCCGTAGCCTATTTCCAAACCTAGGACCTGTGTTGAATAGGACTGTCCTCTTCTTCTTCTTCTTTTTCTCCTTCAGAATCAGGGTCTTCAGGTCTTGCTGACCTTTAGCTAGACTCATGAACAACTCTTGAAATTGTGCATTCTGGGCCTGGAGGGCCTTGATAGCTTGCTCAGTTGAAGGTTCAGTAGACATGATGATTGCTGAAATAAACAGCGAAGAAGATAAGAGACCTGTAAAAGGGTACCTGTTTATGAAGTGCATGGGATGAAATGCGTATGATTTATGATTTCAAAGACAATCGGGATTCAAATTTGTAAACAAGAAAAGAAACACACTTTATTAGATTTAAACTTCAAAATTTCAATTGTTCAACAAACTGCCCTTGAGGCATTACAAGAATGGAAATACTGAAAAGTAAACAAAAACTGGAAAGGAAATCATCAAAGGTCCATCAATGCTCCCATGGTCTCTTCTTATCAGTGCGGACATAGTCGTTCAGGATCCGCTCATTCTCCAATTGCCTAGTCAGCTTCTGGATCTTTTGCTCTTGCTCGTTGAACTTCTCTCGGTAAGAATCCCGTTCATCCCGCAGTTGCATCCAAGATCTCTCCAGTGCCCCAATGTCAGTGGGCATATAAGGATGGAGAATGGTTGGAAGAACCCCTTCTTCATTAGCAACTTCAAGAGTGACATGCCGGACAACTTCATATGGCATACCTAACTTCTGGGCACGGATGCGGACCCATCTGAGATATGGCTCCATTGGCAGAGAAGTCTTTGGGCCCAGCTCATGTGGATCAGATTGGTGAACTCTATCCCAAGCCCTTATGAATCTGCGACGCTGCTCGTCGCTATCCCCCTGAAAATCAAAGATGATATGAGGCATCAGCATCTCATGAGGTCCTTCTCTTCTGGCTCTTCCAAATTGACGGAGAGCTAAGCATGGGTTGTAAGAAATTCCTCCATGGGTCCCTATCAATGGAACATTAGGATACTCTCCACAGTGATCAATGATAGTCACCTCATCCATACCTTCGAGAGTCCAGATAATGTTGTTATGAGAAATAGACATCACCATATAAGCCCAGCCCATTCCTTCTTTGTTCTTCAGCACTGACTTAGGGAGGTGAGAAATAAACCACCTCGACAATAAAGGAGCACAGCACATCAAGGTTCCCCGCTTTCGAGAAGTACGAGCATAGAGCTGATGAAGAATTTCCCCCAAGAGAGTGGGTACAGGGTTATGAGAGATAAAGATCTTTATGGCATTAACATAAACAAAAGTGTCAGGATTCGGAAACAATACCAAGCCATAAATCAAAAGAGCCAGAATATACTCAAACGCCTTAAAGTCTAGGCTATCTCAGAAGTAGTTAGCCTTGCCAACCAAGAACTTAGTCAGAAAACCTTTTGCTCCACTCCTAGTCTCCCAATTATCCATCACTTCCTCTTTAGTCAAATGAAGGGCTGCAACAATTTCTTCGGGCCTAAGGGTCTTCTCCCAACCAGTAAATGGGGTCTGCTCCAAAATAGAGATACCGAGCAGCTCAAAGAGCTCTTCTAGGGTAGGAACCAGCTGATAGTCTTGAAAAGTAAAACAGTGGTACAGCGGATCATAGAACTGGACCAGGACACTCATCATCTGCTCTTCCAATTTGGAGGTGACCAAACTGAGAAGAGAACCATGCCTCCTGATGAAGGAAGTAGTGTCAGGCATCTTGGTAACCAACTCTTTAAACAAGGTAAGGACTTGGACAACGTTGATCCGGATGGTATTCTTACGCATGGGCATCATGATGACCTACAAAACAGAGCAAAGATGAAACCCTCTTGTCTTTGAAATAGGTTAGTCCTTATGCAAGATGTATGCAATGTTATGATGTCATGATGTCATGATAGTAAGCACACCACAAGTATCCACAAATAGCAAACATGGTAAAGGCACACAAGTCACACTGAGAGCCCTTAGATTTCAGGCTGGCATGGAGCTTAGGTACTACCCTCTTTCAGTTCAGTTGGTTTAAACCTGTCCAAAAAATAGTAACCGGGTTCTAGAGGATCTCAATATCACTGACTACCCTCAATCAGTCATAATTCCAATTTAACAACCTTTTCTTGCGGCCGGAATCATCGCGAGAGTTTAGTCTCAATGAGTGTAGCATACTGCTACTGTTCTATGGCCAAGTTGGTCAATTTAAGGTTCTAAGGTCAGTTGGTGCTTAATGAACCCTTAGAAGACCCATATTCTCCTTATTCCAACACAAGGGATATCGGTACAGACTAAAGTGCCACACCAATGTAGCTACTGCTTCATCCGTATTGGTCTACGCCGTACAGATCCCTCACAGTTTATTGCTACTTACCTAAAGGGTATCCCCAGATCCGGGTTAGGATCTATAGAACTCTGATACAAGCCCACAAATATAAATCATACAAAGCATACAATTGAAAACACAATGATCTAATCATAAGGTACACATCACTTATATTTTCCCCAGCAGAGTCGCCAGTTCTGTGATCGGTGGGAATAGAACTGACTGTTTTGGAATGCTGGTTCGCGTTTTGCATTTGTTTTCCCAAAATGTCGCGGTAAGCAAGAGTCGCCACCGTCTTTTATTTTATCCAACAAGGAAATGACAAAAGCACAGAAAAATTCCTTTTTGAGATATTTCTCGGGTTCGGGAGGTAGATTATAGAAAGGGAAAGTGTTAGCACCCTTTCTATCTGTGGTTATCCACGGGCTCTTAGGTACTTGCTCATTGTATTTTCAAAAGTTTGCTTTTCTTTGTGTTTGTGGGTTTGAAAAGAGTTTTTGTTTTGAAGAGAGTGTAAGTGCGAAAAGTTTTGTTTTGTTTTAAAAGGAGCAAGTACTTAAGAACCATCTACCTACTCAAAAAGGAATTAAACTGAGCAAATGTCCTTTAGACAGTGCTATCCCACTATTGAGGAGTAAGTAGCACCGTCGTTGGAGTTTTCGGGTCAATTCGATTAAGGGACGTGTGGTCACTAAAGCAACGTTAGGACGCCTTAGCGGTAACCCTAATGTCTTAGATCATTTTTTCGAGGCAACCGTTTCGAGGCAACTATGATCTTTGG